CCTGCTTTAAACATATCTGCTTAAAAATTCATGTGATATGATGCTGTCTGTACTTGAGAAGATTGCTACAATTCTTCCTGTCCCTTTGAGATGTGTTTCTATTTAGCTGACTTAAGCAATGGGCGTGCAGAAAAGAACAGGACTCATCTCTTTTGTCTGGCATCACTCAGCCATATAGACTTTACTTACTAAACTCCTGTTTGCTTTGGGCTGCAGCAGTGATTCTCACTGTACCAGTGTACAAATCTTGTACTTTTAATATTGTTCATATATAATATGTAAGAAATCTTTACAGACTAAATAGGACAATGCTGTTTATTTTATGGAAAATAACATTTAGCAATGTGCAGCTATGCAGTGATCAAGGCCAGGCTGGATGAGCCTTGATCAACCTGATGTAGTGAGGAGGTGTCCCTGCCCAGGGCAGGGGGTTGGGCCTAGATGATCTTCAAGGTCCATTCCAACTCCTAAATTCTATGATTCTAGATTAGAAAACTATGCAGATGACAGACTGTAATATAAACTATTACATTTGCTTTTTTTATGAGACATAACTGATTCTGTTTTTGAAAGTGAGTACATACATCAAATATTAATCAAATCTTAAGAAAGCTAAACGTGTCATGACATTCAATAAATGCATCTTGCAAATGTTTTGAATATAGTATTTATTAACTTAGGAAGTTAATTTGATAATTTCTTGAGAAATTATTTCTAGAAGCTTATATCTAATCCTTGTTCCTTCAAGGGCCCCTAACTTACTTGAATTTTCTTTCAGTGATGTTAGTGGCAAAGTTCCTGTAGACTTCCCACAGCACAGGAACATGTTTAAGGTGATCACTCAAGGTTCTTTTGGTAATTCACTATGTCTCTTTGGTTCAGGCAGTGGGGTTTCATCAGCCTGGCAGCATCAGAATTGCTTCAACCCCTACCAGGGTAGATGAATTTAAATACCAAATGACTCGTGCTGGTTGGCACCCAACAGAGCAGTACCTAATCACACCTGAGAAAGTGCAAGAGCTGTTTCCCTTATTGAACATGGATAAGGTAAAGGAGAAAGTTTTATGACATATAACTTCCATTGCAATTAAATTTTGGTCTATCAGACATATATATATATGTAAGGTCTGCCTTCTTTATGCAGGTTGTACAAGAAATTCTTGTATTTCAATAAGAAAATGATCTATTATAGACTAAAATTGGACTGACATGCATTTTAGTGCATGTTTTGTGTCAGCATGCATACTATTACATATTATATATATCACATTAAAATAGTAAAGCATTGCAGGCTTTGATTGCATGGGAGATGAAACCAATTATACTTACTTAGACCATCATTATGTTGTACAGTTGTGTGTAAACTGATGTTACTATATGTTGTGAAAATCTGTTTTGATGTGACTTCTTAAGGTTTGCTGATTTTGGTAAATTTTCTTTCATTTGGGGGATTTCAGGTTTTAGCTGGCCTGTATAACCCTGGAGATGGTCATATTGATCCCTATTCTCTCACTATGGCCTTGGCTGCAGGAGCCAGAAAATATGGTGCCCAGTTAAATTATCCTGTGCAAGTAACTAACCTGAACTCCCGATCAGATGGGACGTGGGATGTTGAAACTCCACTGGGAACAATTCAAGCAAAGAGAATTGTGAATACTGCAGGTAGGATTCAATATAAGAATTTGTGTACCCTTCATATTTACCAGCTAGCTGACACCAATCACCTGTACTGAACTGTGTGGATTGCAGGTATAAGTTATATGTGTTTTTGAACATTTGCATGGTTTGTGGTAAAATGTACTTTGCACATATTACTTTACAGTATGGTGAAAAATTAACTATTTTATTAGTTGTCCTTGAATAGGCATTAAAAGTATTTATTTATGGTTTGTCTCCAGCAGTTACTAATCAGATTGCCTTGTTAGATTTCAGTAGCGAAAGAGACCTTTACCGATCTACAGTAAGTTGTGTGGAAGAAAGGCTACTGTCTAGAATCATAGAGTCATAGAAAATCCTGAGCTGGAAGGGACCCACAAGTATCATTAAAGTCCAGCTCTTGGCACTCCATAGGACAGCCCCAAGGATCCCACCATGTGCCTGAGAGCATTGTCCAAACACTCCCTGAGCTCTGGCAGGCCTGGGGCTGTGACCACTGCTCTGGGAAGCTGTTCCAGGGGCCAACCATCCTCTGGGGGAATGAACCATCCTCTGATCTATGCAATATCATCCCCTAAAATCTAGTGAAAGATACTTAGGAAGGGAGATGGAATGTACAAATGAAGTAGAAATGTCTTCACTCTTTATCCCAAAGAGATTGAGGATTTGCAGCAAGTAAGATAACCCTGTCTGTTTCAGTATTATCTTCCTCTAGGATTTAACTCTATCCACATACCCTTGAAACAGAAGATTTTTGTTGTCCTTTGAGTAGTATTGTAAAAATGTGCTTGGCTTAACGATGCATTTTTTGTATGTCATAAAAATTTCCTAACTCAAAGAAGCTTGTATTTACATAGGCAGTTTTTATTTGTTGTGTTAAAGAAGCCAAGCTGATGGTTCGGCTTCAAAGAGCTCTTGAGCACGAGTCCTTTGGATTCAGGTTTGTTTTCCTAAACAAGCTAATAAGTCTAAAAGTGTGTATTCAACCTAAGCTTCAGTTATTTTAATGCTGCTTTTTGCAAGTATAGAAAAATACATGACTGGTGAGTCTGTTGGCAGGTCCTGTGTGAAGCATGCCTTCATAGTAGACTTTCTGTTTTCTGTTGTTTGAAAACATGTTGAAGACTTACCTTATACATGAAATTCTTGATGTCTCTGTCTCAAACTGAATCATATCTGCATTTTTTAGGGCATTAGTCTTTCATACATCACATCACAGCGAGTAATCAGGCTTCAGTAGGAAGCTGTGTTGTCCCACATGAACTTGCTCTCTCAGATGGGACAAGTGAACTGATAACAAGAATGTGTATTTGTAATTCCTTTCTGTCTATGTGCAGTGGAACAGGAAGGGGAAAAAAAGCATCTATTTCTAGTTCAAAACAGATAAAGGGATGATGCTGAGACAGGGACTCTTCTCGTTGGTGGGTAGAATAGTCATGGTTGACAATTGGAATTACGAGTGGATTGGACTGGAAGGGGAATAGCCTAGGGGAGCGAAATGCTTGGGAAAGATTCCTGGAGGTGATTGGGAGCACTGACAGCAAGTGGAACACCTACATGCTAGAGGACTTGCTGAATAAGGAAGCTCAAACCAGGAGGGGATGCCAAAAGTGGGGGTGACACCATGGAGAGAGATGGTGGGGAAGTATCTGATATGTTTCATTAAGGAAACTGGAGCTGGAAGTTTTCGGACAAAATCCTTAGGAAGGATACACAAGGAATGGTTATGTGTGAAACTGAGTGGAAAACTGAGGCTACCTGAGCTGTCTAAACATGAAAGACTGGTGGAGTAGCAAGGGAGAGGTAGATGGGAGCAGATTGGAAGGAGGAGAAGGCAGCTGGGACAGACTTTGACAAAAAAGAGAGACTGACTTGCACATGGACTGAAAATAGTTGAAGAAGGGTGTAAGGGCTGGAGTAAGAAGAGTAGAGTTTGAGGCAACAGAAAAGAAGAGCAGGTATGGGACAAGCAGGGATGGTGAAGAGAGAAGAATGGGACAGAAGGAAATTTGGAGATAGTGGGATAAAAGGTCTAAACACTCAGGGGATGAGCTTTATTTTCTTTCAACATATGGTATGCAGACAGAAATGTGTTAGATCTTTCCAGGCTTTCAGTAAGGACTAAGTGGAAAACCCATTGAAAAGTCTGATTTCTCATCATATGCCTTCCACACATTGGTGATCATGTGCTATTGCTATATTCCTAGCTAAAGTAACAAGGGTCTGAAAAGGTTCACCTTGAGGCTCTAGGCTTGCTCATGAGTGTGACATAATGACATTTTGGAGAGAAAGAGGACTGGAGGAGTTCAGTATGCTTTTTAGAAAGCAAACAACCACACAGACAGGGAAATCAAGTTAAAAGAATTTTACGTAGATCACAGAATCAAGCACTTGGAAGATGAGAGGTGTCAATATTTGATTGCCTTTGGACTGTCAGTTCATGGCTCTCAGGCACGAATTGTGGGACAGCATTCAGTTACAAAATCACAAGTTCTCTTACAAATAGAATTCTTATGTCATTTGTACACAGTGCGGATATATTGGCCTGGGAGTGATCCAAGATTATGAAATGGAAAGGCAGCTCTTTTGGCAATCAGAGGTCTTATTCAGGCCACAAACTTCTAGGTACTCATTATTCCTAACTATTGGCTCTGCCTCATATGGATAAAGTATCACAGATGTAGTAATTTTCTTACATTTTTTGTAGTGTAGTTACCTTTCTTTGCTTATATATCAAGTTGACATTAAGCAGACTTTTCTAGTAAACACTTTTTGATGCTTATTTGCAAAAATTAGAATGCACCTTTGTGAGCTTTTCGTCATTTTTATTATTTAATAAATTATTAAATCAACAATATATTTACTTAATTCTCTTGTGTAGTTAACTGTTCAGCCAAAATGAATATTTGAAGCACATATTGCTTAACATTCTGGCCAATTATGTAAAATCAAATACCTCTTATAAATGTTTTCTCAGATAACACTCATTCTTTTTCTCAGCCTTGCCTTGCTCCACTGCAGATCATGACTGGTATAATTCAGAGCTCGTATTTTAGGCTCATGTTGCAGAGAAAAATACATCACAGGGCTCTTTACATTCTCTCTCCCCCTTGCCTCACCCCCCAGCTGACATCTGCTGCAGAACTGGAACAAACTAGTTCCAGCCAATCTTTAGCTGTTCCTTATGTGAGATTTCCATTTTGGAGGAAAGCAGATGCCTAATAAATAATCCCTGACGTGAGCTAACTGGTCCTGAGCCTGCTGAAGTGATTTGCAGCCCATTTATAATGGAATGTTTGATTAAAGACTGCAAAAATAGTGAATTTAGCTTATTTATACAGTATGTGTGTGTGTGTATCGGCATATATTTGCAGACATCTACATGCTGTATATGCAACCACTTATATATAAGCAGTGGTGGACGATTCTCTGTCTCAAAACCAAGAGACAGTCAGATTACATACTTCAGCAGATACACTAAGTAATACCACCACTAAATATTTCAGCGTCAGATGTTTTCAGCCTCTACAATTTAATCTTTATAAGTGTCCTAACGATATAATGTATGCCTTCATTTATCTTCACTATGTGTGATAGGACATGACATCTGCTTCCATTTAGAATTTTGCTTCAGAGAATATTTTCTGCCTTTTGCCCTTTTTGGTTTTGTAACACCTTTGCACATGTTTCAAAACCTTTGAACGAAGAAACTCTAATATTTTTCATTCCGTAAATGTCAACTGTTGTTATTCTGAGCAATTAAATTATCACTTATCATATGGTAATTACTTATCAAAATGTGACTTTTTTTGAAACCGCAATACTGAAGATTTTACTGTAAGCAAATCTAAACTATTTGCCTCTTATTCAAAAGAAATTTAAAGTCAGCTGTGTCTGTAATGTACTTCTGCAAACTGAATGGCTAAGAACTTTACTGTTATTTTGAAAGAAACCAAGCTAAGATTCAAACACCTAATTTACTCCTACTTTGCTTTTTCTCCTCCTCTGTGGAGAATTAGTTGACCTTACCTTAAAATAGTTTTGTTGTAGGTGACATGGAAATCAAAAGAAGTTTCCTAAAGATTTTTGACTTAAATCCACATGTGTATATGTCATGCGTAATGAAGGAAACCCTTGCAGATGTGCTAGACATGCAATTTTATTAGAAATTTTAAATTGTTTTTGGTATAAGGGAACATAAGTCATGTTTCAGTAGCCTTAAAGGAGGGTTTGGATTGCTCACTCTATGTGACTGCGGCAGGATCATCCCTGAGCTAGTGCAAATGACGTAACAAGTGTCCTGGCAGTGAGTCTCCTCCAAGTACTGATGGTGCCATTAAGAAGCAAAAGCCTCATGTGTGATAACTCCAGAGCAACAGGTACTGTTTCTAGTATTGATTGGACAAAGCCTTTTGACTGAACAGATCTGTAGATGGTGATGCTGATTCCTGCCCCCTCTGCTTTAGCTCTCTGTCAGCAATTGTCAAGTGAGTCACCACCGAAAATATTTTCCTGAGAAACTTTGCATTTTTAAAATCTGCGGGTGTTAGACCCTGAGGCTGGTTGGTGATATTAAATAAGAGGCTGACAGCCCTCCTGGCATGGGGGAATGGCACAAGGCCAGCACAGCCCAATTCAACTTTCCTAATTGCCCTGGCCTCAAGCCATGCCAGAGGTGAGAGGATGTATTCCCGAGCTAATGTCAGCAAGTGGCGTGAGCCGGCTGCTCCCGGTGGGACAGGGAGCCAAGCATAGGAACAAGGCTGGCACAGTCAGCAAGGGCTGTGTCCAACAGGGTGCAGGGGAGGGAGCAGGGAAGGACCAGGACCCGCAGCTGGGGTCAGCCAGCAGTCCAGACCTCCAGACAAGCTTGTGGAGATGAGGCACAGGCAGATCCGTAGTGATGAAGCCAGGAATGTGACCACAGGTCAGGAACAGGTCTGGTGACGATAACCAGGATCGAAAAGTGCCCAGTAATCAACAGGCAGGACTGCAGAGATGAGACTGAGCTGAGGTCAAGCTGAGAAGTAGTCCACGGATCAGGGTCTGGATCAATGCGTTCCATGGCCAGGCACAGATATGGTTGTGACAGAGCTGGAAACAGGCACACACCTACAATCAAACCAGCTCAGACAGGTTCTGAAGGACCTGAGCTGACCTGGAATGGCCTTCCTCCATCCATGGGCAGTTCTGTGGGTGTTAGTCCCAGAGCAGACTGTTCAGGGTCATTTATGACTTTTGGTCCCCCCAGAGCCCCGAGAGCTAAACTTTGACCAGGTTTTGGAGAATATGGAGTTAAAGAGAGAGGTAGGAGCATTTGGTTAAAACAAGTAAGCAGCAGAAAGGAAGCAAAGTTGCCTTTTAACCTGGGCATCATGAAATATAAGTCCCAGGAGAAGAGGCAGCTGTGTTCGGTACCAAATCTTGCTGGAAATACTTTGTCATAAACAGTTTGTTGTCAGCTGGTTACACAGGAACCAGGCTGACCTGCCTTCCTTCCTTGGGTGCCATATGGCACATAGCCTTTAATTTGGAGGGCCCTGCTATCTCTCCTTCTTCCTTCATTTTGGCTTCCCCCAACACTCACTGCTGGTCTCCCCTGAAACTCCTACTGCTTTGGATTTCCCCACTTCATTCCCACTACTGAGACCTCTGCCCCTTGATCTGAAGTGTCAGGAGAGTGGGACTGAGGGGTATTCAAATCTTCTTAGTGCAGCTTCCATCCCAGTCAGTTGTACCTGTCTGATTCCCAAGTCTGTTATGTTCCAGCCTCGCAGCAGATGTAAGCCATGATGCAGAGCTCAAACTAGTTAAGTTTAGCAGTTAAGTGGCTTCCACTCCCTGACTTTGACACAGGTACCTCACTAAATGAGTGCCACAGAATCAAAGTCATTAAGGTTGGAAAAGACCTCTGCGATCATCAACTCCAACCTATTATCTAGCACCACCATTTCACTAAGTGTCGCATCCAGTCTCTCCTTAAACACCTCCAGGGATGGTGACTCCAACACCAACTCTCCGTAAAGAAATTCATCCTAATATCCAACCTATACTTCGCCTGGTGCAGCTTGAGGCCATGTCCTCTCATCCTGTCACTTGTTCACCTGGCTACAACCTCCTGTCAGGTAGTTGTAGACAGCAATTAGGTCACCCCTGAACTCCTTTTCTCCAGGCTGACTCCCCCCAGCTCCCTCAGCCTCTCCTTATAAGACTAGTGTTTCAGACCTTTTCCCAGCTCCACTGCCATTCTCTGGACACTCTCCAGCACCTCAGTGTTCTTTCTGTAGTGAGGGGCCCAGAACTGGACACAGTACTTGGAGGTGTGACCTCACCAGTGCCACGTACAGGAGGAGAATCACTTCCCTAGTCCTGCTGCCGTACTATTTGTGATACAAGTCAGGATGCCATTGCACACTGCTGTCTTATTGATTTAACCTTAACAGAGATGGATTAGGTCTTCTTTAACTTATACCTTGTGGGATACATAAAGGACTTTGAGCCACTTTCAGAGGCAGGGAAATTGTTGCTTTCATTTTCTGGTCACAGTCTATATCAGATCTTCTAATTGGACAGCTGTGGGAGAGCACACTGACTACTCACCGATACAAACATCATAATGAATTGATTGCTTTGTAAGGGACATAATTAATATGAGTCACATGGTGCATGTGAAGGAGAAGAGAACCTTCAATGCTTGAGGTTAGCTGCCCATACTGCCTTGGTCTGTTGGGGTATTAAGACTTGACTACTGTCTTGGGCAAGCTCATTTGGTTAGGAATAAGAGACCAGCTAAGTTAACACCTATGGTGAGAAGTAATTTATTCTGGTTTTCAAGTGTCTCTAGCTTTGATGGCAGTATATTGCAGACCTGCTTTACCAAAATAAACCATGGGGTTTGTGGAACTGTTAATTAAATTATGTTCTGAACTTTCAGAAGCCTAATCTATAATTTTCCAATTATATTTTTTAATATGTGCATACTTAACAATATATGGTAGTATAATTAGAGAAAAGGGCATGGAATTGTGGAGGGAAAAATATGCTGGATGATATGAAAAACTGTTTGAAAATTAGAAGTATGAAAATATTTTGTTGTCATACGTAAGAGCACAGTGTTTCCTGCAAATATTTTACTGTCATTTTCCATTCACTGAAAATAGTTTGAATATTTTTATTTTGTTTGGGGCTTTTTTTCTTCTCTAGGCTTCTGGGCCCGTGATTTAGGCAAGATGATTGGCCTGCAGCATCCTCTCATACCTGTTCACCATCAGTATGTTGTGACATCAACTATCCCTGAAGTCAAAGCCCTAAAAACAGAACTGCCTGTGATTCGTGACTTGGAAGGATCATATTATCTAAGGCAAGAGAGAGATGGCCTTTTATTTGGTCCATATGAAAGTGAGGAGAAGATGAAGCTGCAGGACTCATGGGTTGAAAATGGAGTCCCACCAGGTAATTAAGAACATTAAATCTTTAAACTTGATAAGCACTAGCACATGTTTTAATGTGTGTAAATCCCAGGCTGTCATGCTGCCTTATGTGATGGAAAATATTTGTAATGAATTATTGTAATGCAGAAACTTATTTCAAAGAATAATTGTATCTCTAATGATACAAGACACTAGAAATAGAAATGTACCATAAGAAAAGCCTGTTTGAAATAGACACAAAATACTCATCTACGACATAGTCTTAGCCTACTCTCTGAAGAGGTGCCTGTGTGTTGTGGTTAGATACAGCCACCAAGTCTGTGTTTTATATATATATATATAGAGAGAGAGAGAGAGAGCCTTTTGCAACTGAATAGGGATTTTTTATAAGTTACAGTTCTCTGCAGCATACTGACAGGGGCTCTGGATTTTTGCTGTTCCCTCAGAGATGATGTGATTGTCAACTAGGAGCAGCAAAGGAATGTCGTAGGCAAAATGCTGTGCTTGGATATAAAGAGAGCTGTAGATCTGCATAGGATACAAAAATGTCCTAACTATGCCATACAGCTGCTTACTGAAATAAAGAATAATAAATTGTTGTGCTATATCTAGGCTCCAGCTTTCCAGTCACTTCCAGACAGAAAGTTATACAAGTCAAAAGTGTTGCTGTTTTTAAAAAAAATGCAACATGTTTCCTAAGGAGGAGCAATCAACATTGCCCAGTTTTGGATTGCTCTATCACAGCTTTCTGAAATTAGTGTCTCCAGTAGTGTTAAGTGCCTCTACAGAATGATGTTCAGCAATGCATAGTGCCCAGACTGAAGGGTGAAATATACCCAGGAATTCATGTGGTTTCATGGAAATCATAGGCTGATACAGGGAGTGTCTTTCTTCCCCTCCTCTAATTCTTGGCACATTGAGAAAAATAAGTTGGCCTTATTAATGCAGAAGAAAGTTTCTGTGTTTCTTCACTTCCTTTCTGCTGCATTGTTGAATTTGCATGACCTTAGGGTTAAATAAATATGTATAAAGGATAGTATAACTGCAGTGGCAAATAAACTTGATCCTGCAGGTAACTAGGGATTTATGCACACCACTTTTCTTCTGTAGGATGGCAAATATACACACTGATTAATTCCATATAGCTTTTTGTATGTGTAGATTGCATAACTGCATGTAAAATGTATGTGTTTTCAGTGTAAATAAGCATATAACAAGAGAAATATTTGTGCAGGTTTTGGAAAAGAACTTTTCGAGTCTGATTTAGACAGAATAATGGAGCATATTGAGGCTGCTATGGAAATGGTCCCTGTTTTGAGAAAAGCAGACATCGTAAACACAATTGCAGGTCCCATCACCTATTCTCCAGACATTCTTCCAATGGTGGGACCACATCAGGGTGTCAGAAATTACTGGGTAGCTATTGGTTTTGGGTAAGTTCTTGCAAAAACTTTTGCCTGTCATGTTGTTAAAATGTCAGTCAGCTCAAGCTTTGCATATTTGAATTTGTTTGGGGGTTGTTTTGCAGACATTCTGTGTAAAATACAATTGGAAATAGTCTGAATTGCCACAACCTGCATAATGTAAGCTCATTCTTCTGTCTTCTTCATAGCTCTCAGTATTTTCTCAGTTTGTTTCCTCCTTTTAATCCGGAGGCCAATATCTGTGGCACTTTGTGAAACAGTGAGAAATGGGTAACAGTTTGTACTGTCTGTGCAGCAAGTTGAAGCCATAAAAGTTCTGAGCTTTACAATACACTTTCCAGTTCATTTCATGTATTGCTTTGAATTACACTGTATTTAACAGTTGTTTGGGGTATGTAAAACTGGTTTCACTAAAATTTGGGCAAAAATGAATGGTACAGGGAGGACTTTAATGCATTGCGTGAAGAGGTGAAGGCATACTATTCAGAAGGCATTCCCAGTATATCGTGTGACTGACTACTCTAGGGATACAAACTCAGTAATATTTCTGACTGCTGAAAGTTGAGCTGAAAAATTCGGTTGCTGGGTGTTGGAGGAAAGCAGATGAAGAGGACAGTGTCACAAGAGACGAGTGGTTTACTGGTGTCATTCCCCTGCCCATTATGATATTTTCTTTGAATGTGATTTACATCTTATTTACTATTTACTGCACTGGAGTCAGCTGTAAAACACTTACTAACATCCCTTTAATCTTCTTAGTTTGACCATTGATTGAAGATGGATAGAATGAACCAAATAGAATTCCAGGCACGTCTTACCGAAGACATTCTGTTTACATTGTTTTTCCAATTGCCTAATTTGCTGTTCAAAATCCAGCTCAGCTTTTTCCAGCTTTCTTTCATTCCAAACCAAACAAACCCTCAGATCATAAGATAAGCCAGTATCACTAACATGCTTTCTGAGGCCCTCAAAATAAAAAGGCTTGGTAATTTTGCAATGATTCATTGTGAAAGGTATTCACCTTTGCTGCTTGGATTTTTAGAAAAATAATGTTATCTTTTAGTAACATTTGCAGAACTTACAGTTACAAAAGCGGTTTGCCTAGACCTTGTTCACCAAAAAGACTGTTTAAGTTCATTACTCTGCAGCCAGACTTTGGAGCCTGTTTTTCTTCACTGGTGTCAATGGGATCAGAATCAAAGTTCCAAACCTGAAAAATTGAGAACTAGTGTTACATGTTTAAGTTTCTTTAAACAACTGATTTCAGGAGTTTGATTAATCTCTCAGTGTTTGGACACAGGAGGTTATTATGTGGCTCTCACTGGATTGTCTGTCTGCTTTTCAGGACTTTTGACTCTCTGTTCTATGCTTCTGGGTCACTGCAGTGTTTCTACCAGTGTTGTAATTTTTTGTGTGCATTAGCAAATCCTTATCTCACAGTCAGCTAGCAGGGACATTATGACAGAGGACATAGTGCTGTTAGATTAGAGGATTTTTATTATCTAAAATTAGCAGCTTGCTAGGCATTTTAACATGCAAAGAAGTTAAGTATAGTTAGAAGAGCTTGTGGTGCTATTTATTATTAAGGTTGCTCAATGCTTCCCATTTTTAGTCACTTATAGCTTTGCAAATGTTAACAAGAGTAGGCTAGGATTTTATTCAGAAGAGTTTAATTAAAAGCAGTGTAGCCGTTTCATAACCTGGGACAAAGTCACTAGAAAAGGGACCATGGTGTGCAGAGACTCAGATTTCCTAGGAAAAGGAATGGAATGAGATGAAAACTGGTGAAAGGCAAGGACTCATAAGTAAGACACAAGAAGACACAGGGACAATGGGGAGATAAACTGTCAGGGATTGGAAGGAGAGAAGGAAAAACAGAGTACAGTTTGTGTTCATTAAGGACATTTTCTCTCAGTCATATGAAGACTGTGATTCCTACACTGTACTCTTTACAGCTACTTGTAATATTCTGTCCTTGAACAGCATGTTTCATTCTTGTGCAGCAAAACTGCAGTGGGTATATCAATACAACAGCTCCCTATTATGTTAGGTAAAGAGGGATTGGGGCACTGTGTGTAATGTAAAATCTCTGACAGTGTAGGCCCAGCTAGGAGCACCAAAGCCAACAGGTTGCACAGTTAGTGCTGCAAAGCTCTGCAGAGACCACTCAGCCCATGTGCAGGGCTGGGCTGTACCTGTGGCAGCAGAGCAGTCTGCCCTGTGCTGTTTGCTCCTGGTGTTATCCTACCACCAGTTCAGCAGTCTTCAGCTGAAGCTAAAAACCTTCACTATATTCGATGTGTCACCACTCACAATCATGCAGAGGTCTCTGCTGTTGTTCCCCTGTGCTTTTGCCTCAAATGAATGGTGCAGGGAGACTTAAACAGGCTAAAACTTCTCCTGGAGCTGTACTTGAAGGCATGATAGCTATGGTCACAAAGCTTATACCCGTGACTAGCCAAGAGCTGCTTAACTGAATTAACGCCACCATGAGCTGACTCTTCTGTAGCACTTCCAAAGTGGCAGTTTACAAGCACTCACCCTACTGTGTCAGCTGTGGTGAGAGAAGCTTGTGCTCAGCCTGAAGATTTGTGCTGAACTGCCTAAAGGATTGTGTTTGGCATAATTACATCATGTACTCAGTTGTTTGATATTTCTCTTCTTTAATTAATTAATTAATTAATTAATAAGGAATAAGACCCCACTATATCAAAGTAGTCTCGTTGATACTATGGATGCATTCTTATGCATATGTATTGGAATTAAATGATTACTCCTCTTTTTTTTTTGCAAGATCCTTGCCTGTTTTACCTGAGGACACAGAATTCAGACTGCAGAGTTGAAGAACAGCAATTTAACTTTGTTTTAGTTTCATTAATCTGTGTTAGTGTTTGTGATGTATTTGCTGCATGTTAATCTAAACTTGGTTTTGGACAGACTTAACTCTTTCTTCAAGGATTTTTCTGTTGTGCTCATTGGAGCATTTCACAGATAACTAAGAATTTATTTTCACATCTTCCCTAGACATATTTTGCCGATTTTTTGTAGACATATCAAACCAACTGACAGAAGTATTAAAAGTTCTAAATCATTCAGTATTAATGATTCTTTGTCATTAAACACTTCAGTGTGAAATCAGAGGTTCCTGTAATTTAGCATTACATGGCACAGTTTGATCATATGCAAACTGAGTAGCAACATACACATATTGTAGCACAACAAGTTTTGTGTCCCCAGTTTTCTAGTTTGGGTACCTTGCATGAGCTCATTTCACACATTTTTCCCCATGGATATCAAGACATCAGACATTTTGATCGTTAGAATTATGTACAAAATGTTGAAGTACAGAAACCTAAAATCTATCCTATTATAACTTTTGAGCATCTACCTTTTCTATGTTCCTTTAATGTAGGTTTCTGACGAGTTTTCCTCTGCAGTCAGATTCTTCACATACTCATTATGTAGGAACAGGACAGGCTTTTGCTACAGACTGGTAGCAGAAAATTTCTATATGTTTATTTCATTAGCATAAGCTCTCTGGAACCAGTTCTTTTTGCAGCTGTAGTGGAGAACAGAGAAGATAAATCAGATGAGAAAAAGGCAGTTCTCAAACTCTGGCACCATTGCAAACAAGTCTTCTATTTTTGTCCCCAGTTCCTCTACACTCCCTGATTTTCTGTGGTGCAATATAAAAAGTACTGCTGGTATTTCAAATTCCTTAAAGTTCTCTCTGTGGTGTTGTCTCCTGACTTCTGCTGCTGTTGTCACTGAAAAGTGAATACTCAATGTAGCTGCTAGAATGTCTTGGTATGGATTTCAAATCTGAGTCTGATTTAATCAAACCTGATTGAAAAAGAAGAGGTATTGTGTGATAGGAAAGTGTATGTAATGGACATCAGAAGTTTGAGAACTTTCTTTTGTGGTAATTGTTGAAGAGTGTTAATTTCCCTGGAAGAGTTGTTATGAATAAATTACGAATTTTAGCGAAAGAAAGCTATAATCTTGAGCACTGCAACTGCTGTTCGTGAGCAATGACGTTCTGCTGCTGACAGCAGAGCAGAGAAATACCTGTTAATAAATTATTTAATCTTGGAAAACACGGCAAAACAGAGCAAGTAAAAAAACAGAGGGAAAAATTTTAAATCCTTTAGGGTCTGTGTTAGTATGTGTGTTGGAACTGATGTTAAAAAGCAAAACATATAAGACTTTCCCTGTTTTTAAGGTATGGCATTATACATGCTGGTGGTGTAGGAAAGTACCTCAGTGACTGGATCCTTGAGGGGGAGCCTCCATTTGACCTGATAGAATTAGACCCAAACCGCTACGGAAAGTGGACAACCACAGAATACACAGCAGCCAAAGCAAGAGAATCTTATGGGTTTAATAACATTGGTAAGAAGGTGTTTTTAAAAATATATTTACAACCTGGAAATGAATTCCAGCAAAGCCTGCCTCTAGATTTCTCTGTTTGTATACATGTTCCATGTCTTGGTGATGATCTTAGTATGACATTGGTTTGGGTATTATTTTTCTGTTTGGTTTTCTTTTCCCCTTTAGTTGGTTACCCTAAAGAAGAAAGATTTGCTGGGAGACCAACAGAGAGAACCAGTGGGCTGTACGATTTGCTCAAGTCAAGATGTTCAATGGGCTTTCATGCAGGATGGGAGCAACCTCACTGGTTCTACAAACCTGGTGATGTGACTGGATACAAGTAAATGAAAGATTTTTGTTTGGTTTTTTCCCTACCCTGAGAAACTGTCATGACAGCAAGAGACGGCTGAGTTAAATTTCATGAAAACCATACATTTATCATTAATTTCAGCTAAAGGCACCTAGTAGGTAGATCTTCCATTCTCATTTTTCCATAGTTTAGAATACATTTTATTCTGATTAGTGTGGACATTTCAAAACACACATCGAGGTATCCTGTAACTGTTCTAGGTTGGGGGTATCAGTGAACAACCTAGCTCAAGGAAGAGCTTTAAAAACAACTTGTTCATTATAAATGTGTATTTTTCTCCACGTCTTATTATCTGACCAGCAGCACAGTATACTATTTCATGAAAAAGCTCATTCTTCTCTCTATAATTGTCTAGAAAGGTGAAGCCCAATCTTCTTTTCTGTCTTTTTTCTCTATCTGTGCCTGCCCACCTTGTTACCTGCCTGCTTCAGGGAGCTTCCAGCAAAGGAATCTCATAGAAGATTAAAGAGACACACTCTGTTCAGAAATAAAGCCTTTGACACCTTAAACTCAAATAAATGATTCAGCAACAATGTATGCTGTAAATTTGCACATGACAAACTACTACTTCTTCTAACATTTCAACAGTGCACAGTTTATTATACAAAATGGTTGATATAATATCAACCCATATCTTCTCTGTTGTTAAAGGATTTTAATTATTAAGCTGTCTTAGACTAAGGAAAATATTGGGTAAGCTGCCTACAATGAGGAAAGTCTGTCTCTTTTGGATGATTATTAAACTGAAGGCTGCATCTTGCTGAAGAAAGCACAGAATTTCTGATTCGTGTTTTATGTGTCTAAATGCTCTGTTTCAGACCCAGTTTTCGGCGCACAAATTGGTTTGACCCTGTGGGTCGTGAGTATAAACAGGTTATGGAAAAAGTTGGTGTGATTGACCTGTCACCATTTGGCAAGTTTAAAGTAAAAGGCACAGATTCTGTTAAGCTGCTGGATCATCTATTTGCAAATGTTGTTCCAAAGGTAAATGGGACAGTTATAACTGATGGATTTAGACAGCCAAGATCTGTTCCAGGCATGGAAAATGAAGCATAATATTATTGCTGTATCTTGCAGACATCAAATACACAGATCCCTTGGAGAAATTTCAGTATCAGGTGTTTTGCACTCAGTTAAGAGCACAAACAGTGGACTTCATACTAGAGCAGCCCCAAGTAGAAGTACCTTTTGGCACAGATCATTGAATCAGAATGGTTGAGGATAGAAGGGACCTCTGGACCTCATCTTGTCCAACCCCCTGTTCAAACAGGTCACTGCCTAGGACTATGTTCAGATGGCTTTGAGTATCTCCAAGGATGGCAACTCCACCAGCTCTCTGGTCAACTTGTTCCTATGCTTAGCCACTTCTATAGTGAAAAAGTGTTTCCCTATGTTCAGACAGAACCTCCTGTGTTTCAAATCTTCATCTAGAAAGTGCAGATGATTCTCATCTGGAATTCTTTTACAGTAGTATAGCTTGGCATCTGCGTGCCTAAAAATGTGCTGTCCTGTGGCAGCTTGAGATAGTAGAGCAGAGCAGTGGAAGATGCCTGATCATAGCTGGCTGCTGTATTCTTCCTGGGTGTCCAAGAGAACAGCTTTGTTGGGTGGGGTTTTTTTTCCAAATGTGACCATGCTTGTTCTCCAGCCCCTCATACTGACTCTGTTTTACAGCTGGGTGCCTGGAGCAGGTAGGGTTTCAGATTTTCAGGAGATTCAGCTTTCACCTCACACCTGTCCTTTCTTCAGAAGTTTATGGATCCTTAGACTGTGGTCCTGTGCTCAGAAATGGCATACTCTGACAAACTACCCCAGGTTTCTTATTCTTGGTCGTTGGTTTGTGATAGTGCTCCACAAGTCCTTTTATCTTCCTGCTTTGTCAACCACCCTCAAGCAGTGTCTTTAACTTTAGAGATAGTCCTCCAGCAAGCAAATGATTCCTTTCTGAAGTTCTACAGACGTGGGGTTTGCTCATTTCAGCATATAATTTCATTAAGGTTTTGCAGGAGGTGATGGTCTTTGCTGCTGCAAACACCAGAGGAAGGAAGCATAGGGAAACAGCAAGTGCGCTGAGACTATAGTTATGAATGTAGATAAGCTCTACTCAGAGGTCAGAGCCAACTGAATGGGAAGTCTGTACACAAAAACTGTATCCTATAGGTTTAGGAGAAAGAAAAACCTGAATTGCAATGTAGTAATTTTTTTTTACTACATGAATTTTATATTAATGATATAGATTGATGGTTTGTCTTCTGCCTAGCTTGGGGTAGAAGCAGGGTAACTGTGTCATCAGTGGGCATGGATAACACTTCCTGAATATATTTATGTGGTGGAAGGAAATCAGGATTAAGCAGTAAAGTATGAGAACAAATCAAGTGCTTTCTATGGAGTTCAGTCAGTGCTGCTAAGGGGAAAAAGAGCTTGATGGCAAAGCAAAAGGTAGAGTTTATGAGTCCACTTAAAAATACAGCATTCACAACAGTTGGTTATTTAAGCTGTCTGGTTTTTAGTGCCATTCATGGTTGTCTGCAACATAAAATAATCCAGTGACATTACTGCAAATGTTACTGGAGATAAACTTGTGTCACGCTTGGGTTTAGTGTGACTAGCATCAGGTCCTGAAAATTCAACTATGTGCCTGTAAAATGCCAGTGACTATATTAAAGTAATATTGCCTTGCAAAAAAATGTTAATATCTGCAATATGTTCCTTTTCCCATTCATTTTCTGGAACCTGGGCCCTGCCTGGGTGACTGACAAGGTTCTATGAAAGCAGAATGAAATAGGAGAGATTAAATTCTGCCTCAGGAACCAGACCAGGACAACAGCTATGGCACATTCATATTTCTTGTTCTGTGGGTGATATATGTATGAGCATGTACGTGTTTTATGGTCATAGCTAAGTATCTGTTATTTGAAACTTTGCCTCTAGAGATCGAGTTTATACACAGAACATGATTCAGATGTACAGAGATGTAGATTCATAGTGAGCAACTACAAAAAATACAACAGCATACATAAATCAGGGCCACGAAAGCATAAGCCAACTCAGTACTTCTTTCTTTAAAGTAAGGGGCAAAGCATATGTCATTCTTCTGGAATCTGAAAGCCTTATTCACATGACTGAAAAAGAATATTTGTGTCAAAAACATGTAGAAGTGTTTATTCTGATGATGAGAAAACAAAGTGAAGTTGATTGAATTAGCATTGAAAATGTATACCTAAAACAAATGGATGTTAAGAATGCCTTGTGAAATGCATAATTACAAATATTTATAATAGTCTTGATTTATTTCAAAAATTCCAATCTTTTCTATAAAGAAAAATGTGAAGTTTCCCAGTGTAAAGCTTAAGCTTGGCCAGTTGTGTATCTCTCCACTGCTGTTATGGCAGAGCACAGCAAACACAAAAGATTTGTTTTTTCAGATGAAGACATGCAACTGTATATTTTGTGATGTTTAGGAAGTCAAACATTTTATTTTGCGTTCTTAATAACTGCAGATTTTACTCTGTAGGTGGGTTCCACAAATATAAGCCATATGTTAACACCAGGAGGAAAGGTTTATGCTGAGCTCACAGTCTCTCAACTGTATCCTGGAGAATTCATGCTTGTAACTGGCTCAGGATCAGAGCTCCATGATCTGAGGTTAGTTTATTTTTTTATGCAGTAAGTACATAGCGCTATACATTTGCATTGATACAGAATTTTTTTTGCTAAATGAGAGATTGTTACTCAACAAACTGCTCACAAAGTTCACGAGAATTCTACTTGCTTATTGATTTTAGTTTCTTAGAAGCTTGGTTGACTTGAATCCTGAAGTATAAGCAGTTGGATATTGGATTCCTGTTGATGTAAAAAGATGGAGAAGTTACCAACAGTTATGTAATATACTTTATTGGAGGTAGTGCTGTTTTGTTGTTGAACCTGTGTGTGTTTGGCATTGTATGATGTAACACGGCACGGCTGGTCCTTTCTAGTGTGTTCTCTTACGCAAAAACCAAAATTGGCTTTAAACACAGATGACCCCAGAGACACTGACCTGGCCAATACAGATAGGTTGTGCAGTCGTTGTGATACTGTGGTAATGTCTTCTGTGTTGGGCTCTGGGGTTACAGAGCGGAACGACAGAAAGAAAGGAAGCAGAAGCATTTGCAGAATGACTTAATGAAGAGAATTCTCATAGATGAGCATTGGAAGTGACATTTCTAGTTCCCTTCTGAGTGGAGGTTGCTGGAAAATCAGTTACTCAAAATTAATCCACATATAAAAGGCTGAAATGTGCTACCCTAACATGCAGAGAATAATGTACTGTTTAATAGCAGCCCCACGGGAATCAGTAGGACCATTGGCACATTCAGGAACCAAATGGCAGAGCCAGATCTAGTACATTTACTTCTTCAGAACTTCTTCAGTCCTGTTTGGTACTCCCCTGTGCCTGAGATATTTTGACACTGCTCAAGACAGTAGTACTTCATAAGATTTTTTAATACACTCATTTCATTTCTTTTGTGAGCTTCCTGAAAGACAACTTGTGGCTGATGTTTTTGATTAAATCCAAACTGAACTTGCTGCCAGTAATTCAAATACTGTATTCAGAAAGGAACAAATCTGCTTGTACATTTTTGTTGCCACAGGCAGTTCATAGACTCAACCAGGTTGGAAAAGACCTCCAAGATCATCAAGTCCAACCCTACCGTGGTTACTAGACCATGGCACTAAGTGCCACATCCAGTCTCATCTTGAAAACCTCCAGGGATAGTGAATCCACCACCTCCCTGGGCAGCCCATTCCAATGCCTGATCACTCTCTCTGTAAAAAATCTCTTCCTAATATCCAACCTAACCCTCCCCTGGCAGAGCTTGAGTCTGTGCCCTCTTGTCCTCCTGCTGGTTGCCTGGGAGAAGAGACCAACCTCCACCTGACTCCAACCTCCTTTCAGGGAGTTGTAGAGGGTGATAAGGTCTCCCCTGAGCCTCCTCTTCTCCAGGCTCAACACCCCCAGCTCCCTCAGCCTCTGCTCATGGCACTTGTGCTCGAGCCCCTTCACCAGCCTCATTGCTCTTCTGTGGACCTGCTCCAGCACCTCAATGTCCCTCCTCACCTGAGGGGCCCAGAACTGGAGATTTCTTATGTTCATTGTGTTTATTGCTTACTCTGTTTGTATGTTGACTTTTCATTAATGCATTCTGGATCCAAAGCCAAATCTGTTGTCATTGTATGAGATCACTTTGTCTTATCCTGAAAATGGTGTTCAACCCATTTAGACTCTGTTCTGTCCTGGCTGTATCTCAGATATCTCTGTACCCATACCAATGTCTCACCAGAAAACACCATTTAACATCAGTGATGATTTGACTGTCTAATGTAGCACATAGTTTTGTTGGGTTTCAGAACGTCTGGGACTAGGAGATGCTGGGTAGATGAACACTAACAATTACTCCTTTTTAAATTTTATTTACATCTGTTATTTTTCATAAAAAGTGTAACATGAGTGTTGTGTTTTATGTGCAGATGGATAGAAGAGCAAGTAACACGTGGTGACTACAAAGTGGAAATAGCAAACGTGACGGATGAGATGGGAGTACTCAGTGTAGCGGGTCCATATGCACGACAGGTCCTGCAGAAGTTGACAAATGAGGATCTCAGTGATGGTGCATTTAAGTTTCTCCAGTGTAGACATCTGAAGCTTTCCAACATTGCTGTTACTGCAATTAGGATATCATACACGGGTAAGAAATAGAAGAAACATGCTCTTTAGGAAAAAGACAATGAGTAAAATCATAAATGTCACTAGAATTAGGTTTAAAAATAAGTCTCATCATGTATTCCTAAGAAGTAGGTTCATTATTTTTGTATGCAAATGTGGGAGGAATCACAGTACATTGATTTTCAAATGTGATATGGTCAGGGTCTGTGCTGAGTTTTTCCAAGACCTTTTCCTCTAGAATACCCTATAGTGTCAATATTTATTTTGCAGAACAAAAGGCCAGTTCTGATAACCTCTCTGGTATTTGCTGCGAAACCAACGTCAGGAATTGTTTTTGGATTACCGTATATTAGTGCTTGTCATGTGCCTTGAGAATGTAATGCTGTAGTGCTGAGCGTTTGGTTTTCTCAGTTACTTTGAATCTTCATCTCTTTTTACATTCATCTCTAGAGTAACGGATTGAATTCCGAAGCAGCTATAGTCCTTGTATCTTTCTGCTGGCCTAAAGATGACAGAACACACTCATTTTATTCTTATTGACACTCAGTTGCTGTTCACTCACCAAGTCATCATTTGTTTATAATGCCCTTAAACTTTATTTATCATTGTGACTTTGTTACATGATGTTTTCTTACCAGTTATTCTGATTTTTTTACCCATAGATTTCAGTTAACAGTTCACGTTAGAACAACAGATCTAGGGCACAAATCTTCTGGTGGTTCTTGCAGGGAATTGGACTTGCTATAGGATAGCAGAATTCACCCTGGAGTGTGAATTAACACTTCCACCACTGATCCTCACTTTTGACCAAGGATAGGAGTGTATTTATTAGGGTCATTCATTGTTGAGCTGATGAAACTGTTGATCTTATTTGTACAACAGGTGAATTGGGCTGGGAGCTCTACCACAGGATAGAAGATTCTGTGGCTCTTTACAATGCAATCATGGAAGCTGGACAAAATGAAGGAATTGACGACTTTGGAACATATGCTCTGAATGCTTTAAGGCTGGAAAAGGGTTTCCGAGCCTGGGGGGCAGAGGTCAGGAAACAGAACTTCTTTATTATTCTTTCTGGGGGGCTTGTTTGTTTGTTTTAATTTTATTGTGACTATACAGCTTTTAGCCATAGTTAGAACAGCACTATCCCAATTCAGCATGAAAATATACCTCGAACAGGAAAAGCTTCTATAATTCCAAATAGTGATTTTCTAAATAAAAATTACTAGTGTACCACATTGCATTGCTGGCAAAAAACCCCACTCATTTTGATTCATGGACAGTTTTCCCTCTTGTGTATAACAAAACTGTGAGGGTTTTGCTGAGCTCTGGTGTTTTATAATCAAAGGTTTGGCTGACAGATTCTCAAAATGTTTTATTTCTGTAATAGCTATGTCATGAGAGGCCAATTATTCTTGCTTCATAACGTATTTGGAACTTTTTCATTTGCCATTAGCACGTTTTCGCAGTATTTGCTCACTCACAGTAAAGTACTACACAGGGGACTGAGAGAATTTAGGGGAAGTCAGTGTAATTACCACTTACCTGAAATTTTTCCTAATTCCTTCAGAAATGAAAGAACTCAAGGGGGTGAAAGGGTGAGCATTTAGGGATCCTTTTTGTTTGCCCTGTGATAATTATATTCATCAAATGCTGCCTAACAGATTGTTCCCCCTACTCTTAATGGGAGAGTGGTGGATGAAATTGGCTTTGTGTTTAATTTTCCTCTCCAGCTAAGACATTCTGCTGTGTTGCAAATGATGTGCATACCTCAGTTATTCAGTCATTCTGCTTCGATGAAAAATCCCATTTCTTACTGAGATGTGTGTTTACTCTGCATGTTGGAGCTTAGATGACTGATTTACATATCTATGTGTTAGGCATGGTAGTAGATAACACTGTTTAAATCACACATTGGAAGATTGCAATATATTCAAATGGAAGTTGTACATATGCAGTGTGGAAGGCATCGACACAGGAGTAAATAGAAGGATGCATAAAATGAATAAATAAGCCCCCAGCCCAAAACCTATGATGGTCTATCATGTCTGGATGGTAAATTTATGTCTTTTAACAGATGAACTGTGACACTAATCCCTTGGAAGCAGGACTGGAATACTTTGTAAAGCTAAACAAGGTATGCCTTATTATTTCCAATCTGTCCTATTATGTCCAAGGTTATTCCTTTAAGTATTTGAACATGAAATATGTCATTATATGGAAAATAAAATAGGTTTAGAAAAAGAACAAAGCAACTATAATTGTAAGAAGAATTACTTTAGAAGTACTGATTTGTTTAAAAAGACCTTTTCCCATCTCTCTTGCTAACAAAATTGTACATTAGATCAGGAAGCTGCAAATATTAAATGTTGTCTAGAATCATAGAATCATAGAATTTA